GTGGGAAGATGAGAACTGGTGAGTGGGTAGTAGCTGAGAACTGGCGACGGTGTAGTACAACCGTAGTATGCGGAGTAGGTGGGGAGCTGGAAGATGAGAACTGGCGACCTGGTAGTACAACTTTAGTACGCAGAGTAGCTGGGGACTGGGAAGATGAGAACTGGCGACTGGGTAGTACAACTTTAGTATGGAGAGTAGCTGGGAAATGGGAAGAGGAGAACTGGCGAGTGGGTAGTAGCTGCGAACTGGCGACGGTGTAGTATATAACTGTAGTGCGCGGAGTAGCTGGGGAGCTGGAAGATGAGAACTGGCGACTTGGTAGTACAACTAACACGTGCCTTTGACAACAGGCAGTGGAAGCCAGCTTGCTGGCTGCCATTGTCCAGATGGAAAGCCAGCACGTTGGCTACCATCATAGTTGAAGTGGGTAAGCCAGCACGCTGGCTGCCATTGTTGGGATGGCAAAGCCAGCGCGCTGGCTAGCATCATAGTTGAAGTGGGTAAGCCAGCACGCTGGCTGCCATTGTCCAGATGGCAAAGCCAGCACGCTGGCTGCCATCATAGTTGAAGTGGGTATGAGCCAGCACGCTGGCTACCATCATAGTTGAAGTGGGTAAGCCAGCACGCTGGCTGCCATTGTTGAGATGGCAAAGCCAGCACGCTGGCTACCATCATAGTTGAAGTGGGTAAGCCAGCAGGCTGGCTGCCATTGTCCCCTTACCAGCAGCCCAAATGCTCACGACGATGAGCTGGGCTGTCACCGCTTGGCCGCCGGTGGGGGGTTTGGGAGGCCGCATCACACACAGACACCCACACACTCCCTCAACTTACACGAACACACACATACGCAGACTCATTTCCACACGGACATAGACACACGCACAGAAACCCACACACTACCTCAACTCACTCGACTTCACACTTCTCACTGCACACTTACCGGATAACTCGCACTCTGACTTCCTACGTGATGAAAAATGCTTTCGGGCCACTCGTCGTCTAGTTTTTTCTTTTATTAATCTCTAAAAGTTCTTAAAATAGTCAGATTTTATATTGATGTTCTGCTTGATTTTTGCCTTGAAACTGTTGTTCCCGAATATTGATTTTTGGGGCACATGCTGCTTGGAGTTTTGGCTCAAGAGGTGCTCTGTATAAAGCTCTATAGGGAAAGCCCTCAACCTTGAAAAAGGTATATAAGTTCCTAGAGAAAAAAGGAAAGCCCACAACTACCTTGAAAAAGGTATGTCTGGCAGAGGAGGGGCTAGGCATTTCAGCAAACCTTTGATTGATCCAGGTTTGCTGTATAAGGTCCTTTGTGACCATGAAGATCTGGTGATGGACATGAAGGGGTATGAGCAGTTGAGCAGGAACAGTGCTGTCAACCCCAAAGCTATGCGCCATGCTCCCCCTCATCAATGCTTTGGTGGATATAGAGGGGTCAGCTGAGATCCATCCCCAAGGGGTGAGATCTGCATTGCTGCATCTCATCACTGAGAAGCCTGAGCTGAACACCTCCAAGTATAATGGAGCTGTGTTTGTCAACCTCAGGGCAGAGCGATTGGGTGTGTTGCTTCACCATGTCAGAAAACTGGCAAGGAACAAGCCCACACCCAGTGT